TTCCAGCAAGGAAATTTTATCATAATGGGCAACAATTTTTGCGTCCTCAACTGGCACGAAAATCTGCTAGCATCATTTAAGTGCATTTTCAGAAAAAAAATCATAACTCGAAAACGACGAATTTTAGCATATTGCTACTCGTACTGAAAATAGTTTATACTATTCCCTTATACACCAAAAAGTTTGAGAGAAAAAAAGATGTGGCAATTTGAAAAAAATCAATTTGAAAAAAAAAAAATGTTTGTTTATAAACAATAATTAATTATTAATAAACAATTACTGATGTTCAGTTAACTAGATCGATTCAGTAGATCAATATCTGCAATTTAAAAAAAAAAAATCGTTAAAATCCTTGCTTGTTTGCGGCAGTTATAAGCGATTTCATCAAAAGTTGCTATTAAGAGAGGAAAAAAGAAGCGTTCGTAATCAAAAAGAAAAAAATCATTATTCGAAATATTCGCATTTGAGCAAAAAGAAAAAATACATGTCTCCTTAAATTGTTCAAGGAACAATCTCTGTGAGTTTTATCGCAAACTTAAATTCACTTTCCCCGGCCTGGGTGATTTGAGATGGAATGAGCCATATACAAGAATTGCTCGTTTACTGTAATAAGATTATGATTACACTATGCGACAGTCAAAATCGGGATGGGATGAAACCAACGGGAAATGTTCTATCGGTCAAAAACAAGTTATACGTGGACCGGCGTTTCGCTGGGTCACGTCTAGGAATCGAGATATATCGATTTGAAGTTAGTAACTATCATATAGGGGAAATATTCTTGTCAAAATGAGATACCTTCACTTAATTGTGAATAAAAGCGAAACGCGTCCATTGATTTTCATGATCTATGTCTCATTTTGCTTAAAGGTTATGTGCAGGGAACGGATTTTTAGGACCTAAAAACCTATAAAAAAGGCAAAATAAAATAACGAAATAGGCTGGAAAAGGCAAAATAAAATAGTGAAAAAGGCAGGAAAAGGCACTAGGTGTTGCAAAAAAGGCAAAAAAGTCAAAACAAAATAGCGAAAAAGGCAGGAAAAGGCACTAAAAAAGACAGAAAATACGAAGAACAATCAAAAAATACATTTGTATTAGAAATGTTTATATTACAAGTAAAAAGAGAAAAACTATGAACTAATTTCATTATATGAAAAATTTGTACTTTGAATCTTTGACTATTTTATCCTTTCGAGTTTCTAACTCATAAAACTTTAATCTGTATAGTTCTAGTAACATTGAACCACAAGATGCATTTTGAAGTTTTCTGGCAGCATTTTCATTAGATTTTCGCGAAGAAAAGCCTTGAATGTACTAAATGTGTGCTCGACGTAAGTTGATACAAGCGGCGCCCAATTTAAACATGGAACGTTTGAAACGTCCATATTATCAGGAATAAGGGCGTTTTCCTCGCCCTTTACAATTGTATCCACACCCCTTATTGTCTCCAAGCCTTCGTTAGCTTAGAAAACGGCTTTGAATTTTTCCAACACCAATTTGGCAAGAGGTCTCTGCGCTTCTATAAGCCGCATGGGCAATGTGTATATTTTTTAATCTTAAAAAAAAAATTGTAAATGCTATAATCAATTTTTTAAAGGTAGAAAAGGCAAAAAAAGGCAAATATCTTAAAAAAGGCAAATATCTTAAAAAAGGCAAAAAAAGGCAACATCAAATGTGTATATATGGAATCAGGGAAAGCTAAATCGTGCACATTCTTAATCGAATATACTCCATCTCTTCAGCAGAAAAAAGGCATTTTCCATAAAATCCGTTCCCTGGTTATGTGACTTTGCGTGAAAATAATACGACTTGCCTTTTTTTCCGTTTTGGTTTTTTTATGAATTTAAAAAATAAAAAAATTTAATATTTTAGGCAAAAAATATTTTTTTTTCTTCATACATTTATTTTTACCGGCAAAACTGTTGATTATATAGAAAAACGTTATATGAACAGATTAAAGGAATTGAAATTTTTAATTTTTTTAAATTTGTTTGAGCAAAATCGGACTAGTGGTTCTCGAGTTATGTCAAAAAAAAGACCACCAAAGGTGACGATTTCCCCTATATGATAGTTACTAACTTCAAATCGATATATCTCGATTCCTAGACGTGACCCAGCGAAACGCCGGGACACGTATGTATAACTTCTTTTTTACCGATATAACTTTCCCCGGTAGTTTGAACCCTTCCCGATCACTGATCCCTACCATTTGTCTCACAGTGTTATTAATCATTATTTAACAGGTCTGTTTCAGACCGACTACCCAACACCAGTGTCAGTGCGGCACGGAAACTAGTCCTTGCCTACTGGATCGTAATTACTTAAATACAGAGAAGCGAAGGCAGTGCGGTTCTGGAACTCGTCCTTTCAGACCGCCTGCCCAGCACGTTGTCCAGCGATCCTGCTGCTCGGAATCTTGTCCATTCATACAGCCGCAACAACTGCAATAAATATGTGTGTAAAAAAATACAAATTTTCTAGTCATTGCCGCAGAAATTTAAAATTTAATGGTAGTTTGTAAGATTTGAAAACTTATTTTTAGTTTCGAATGAAAGATTCAATAAATAAATACATATTATACAAAAACAAAAAAAAATCATTAAGTTTAATAAAATAGTACATACTTGAGACTTATAAATAGTATAGGCGCATCTAATCGGTCCGGTGATTTGTGCTAAACTGTCCAGTACGGTCTTTTTGTCGGTGCGTTAATCCCGTTATTCTTTTCGGCGTTGGTTCAGTTTTCGTTCAGTGGCAGGGTCGCATTCCCACATACATTAGTTCGACGAACGAAAGAAAAGCCAACTTTGCGCTTGTGCTAAATCTACCACATTGCCTTAAAGGTCAAAATTTCTATATTACATTGTGGACTGGTTTATAAAGAGTATTTTAAATTTATGTGTGATAAGGTTTCACGATTTTTTTTTTGTATTTTTGTCGTCGTAATTAGTCACTTTGTCCTTATGTGCGACACAGCAAATAAAAGGTACACCCCTTAAATTTAGCGAAGTGGAATTACGACTTCGACAATATTCGATATCTCGATTCTATCGAATATGGAGCATGGTGTCAAGCATAGAGGGGTTCTGTCACCTTTGGTTTTTTTGCGAGAGTCTTAAATATTGAAAAAAAACGCAGCTTTTTGACACATTTACCTAATTTTGCTGAAAATCTGGGCTGATGGAAACTTTGTACCTACGGACTTGCAATCAACACAAAAAAGTCTATCAAAAACAGCTTTAACATTTGCCGCACCACATTTTTTTTACAAATTTTTGTTGGCCTGTGTTATATAATTCTGGATAATTCCGTACCTACTCGATTAATATTTCCTCCATATAAAACTTGCAATAGAACAACGTTAGCTCGTCAGCGAAACACAGAAAATCGTTGTCGGCTTATATAAAAAACTCGGAACGAACACTGAAGTAGCACTGGCGATGAAAAGCGGAACTGTGCAGGACATGTCTGAACAACTCCATTTGAGACTGAGGCAACGGTATTTTATTTTTCACTGACACTGATGTGTGTGGAAATACCTTAATGCTGAAGAATGTCAGATTATTCGATGCAAGGTTCAGACCGCCAAATGGAATTAGTTTGGCGAATTGTAAAGACTTGTTTAGTAACCCTCGTATACACTATGCTAATTTAAATAGAGTCAAAATGTGGTCATGGTCACTTCAAGTGTCAAATCCGGTATAATAAACTAAATTTAACATTTTTATGCAGTTAAAAAAAGTTAAAGCACAGTTTTGCAAAAATTTCTTAACACATCAATAATGGAAATCATACCTTTTTTATTTCATTCTAGGGGGCGGTTTATCCAACAATAAGAATATATCTTTAGAAACCTTTGACGATAAGACACAAGCAGTAGCCAACAACCGTACGGGCGGCGATGCGCAATTAGTTACTATACCGTTTTCACTTCATTGCAACAATGTATATCAAAATAGCGATTCGACGTACGTAAATGCAGAAAATACCAGCAAAGGTTTCAGCTCACTTCCACGCCATTTTAAAAATACTCGCGATACTTCTGTAGAACGAACATTAAGAGATGTAACGCCCGGCATTGTTGAGAAAATTTATTTAAATACGTCTGTATTGCCTGATTTAAAGGAAAATACCCTAGACATCTTACATCCACCATCGCGAAAAGTGCCCGAACATTTAATACTACTTAACTCACCTTTATTGGAATCTTTCACACTTAGTGTTCAACCATCCCCTTCGCCGAGCACCTCATCTGGTCCTTATATTCCCATAAGCGAATGCTTCACAGGAGCGCCTAAATACGTAAGTATAATTTAAAAATTGCCTTAACCCGTTTCATCCCAGAACAACAATTTTAAATTTTTTTATTAAAACGTAGTAGAAGAGCTAGTTTAGGCCTAAAACTATGACAAAGTGATACAAAAATGTGTTCTATTGGTTTTACTAGGATGGGCCGTTGCGAAAACCTTGCCTGAGGTAATGTACTCATAAAGTTTGAAAAAACACTTATATTTTATTTATAAAAATACGAAATTTCTTTTATGTTAAATGAATAATTAAATTAATTCAATATGTAACAAGTAATAAATTTGCATCTTGTTTTGTGATATTTTTCAAAATATGTGGCATTTAATGCAAGATTGCATCTTTGACATTAATAAACGGTCTGTGAACAGATACATATATGTACGTCAGGTCTCTTCACTCACCTTAAAACACAATTGAAAAGTGAATTAATGTCAGTGACATTAATACACAATCCAAAAGTGAAATAATGTCAATTCACTCACCGTCTAAAAGTGAAGTATGTAATGTTATAAAAATAATTTTTGTTATTTAGACTTAATTCGCAAAATGTGTGTTAATTTCATCGAAAATATTAATCACCAGGGAACGGATTTTTAGGACCTAAAAACCTATAAAAAAGGCAAAATAAAATAACGAAATAGGCTGGAAAAGGCAAAATAAAATAGCGAAAAAGGCAGGAAAAGGCAATAGGTATTGCAAAAAAGGCAAAAAAAGGCAAAACAAAATAGCGAAAAAGGCAGGAAAAGGCACTAGGTATTGCAAAATAAAATTATAGTTTAAAAAACTAAAGCCTCCCTATTATAATTGCCATTCGTACTGTCGACAGGTATGTAACTTGAGAATAGAAATCGCTGCATCTTTTAGGCGCATCAATATTACATAGTTACATCCCGAGCTAATAAAAGGAAGGTAAAAAGCAAAATAAGGCACTGAAAAAAGACAGAAAATACGAAGAACAATGAAAAAATACATTTATTTTAGAAATGTTTATATTACAAGTAAAAAGAGAAAAACTATGAACTAGTTTCATTATATGAAAAATTTGTACTTTGAATCTTTGACTATTTTATCCTTTCGAGTTTCTAACTCATAAAACTTTAATCTGTATAGTTCTAGTAACATTGAACCACAAGATGCATTTTGAAGTTTTCTGGCAGCATTTTCATTCGATTTTCGCGAAGAAAAGCCTTGAATGTACTAAATGTGCGCTCGACGTAAGTTGATACAAGTGGAGCCCAATTTAAATATAGAACGTTTGAAACGTTCATATTATCAGGAATAAGGGCGTTTTCCTCGCCCTTTACAATTTTATCTACACCCGTTATTGTCTCCAAGCCTACGTTAGCTGAGAAAACGGCTTTGAATTCTTCTAACACCCATTTGGCAAGAGGTCCCTGCGCTTCTATAAGCCGCATAGGCATGTGTATAGTTTTTTAATCTTAAAAAAAAATTGGTAATGCTATAATCACTTTTCTAAAGGTAGAAAAGGCAAAAAAAGGCAAATATCTTAAAAAAGGCAAAAAAAGGCAAATATCTTAAAAATGGCAAAAAAAAGGCCACATCAAATGTGTATATATAGAATCAGGGAAAGCTTAATCGTGGACATTCTTAATCGAATATACTCTATCTCTTTAGCAGAAAAAAGGCAATTTCCATAAAATCCGTTCCCTGTTAATCACCCTCCAAACCTATAAAAATAATTTTTGTTATTTAGACTTAATTCACAAAATGTAAATGTGTTAATTTTATCGAAAATATTAATCACCCCCCAAACCTACATCTAAAAACAAAGACGTTAATACGTCAATTAATGGCAACAATAATAATAAGCACGTGGGGAAATTTCTTTCTTGTTTAAATTTAAGTATAAATTACTCAACAATTCTACAATTTGATAATGCTACACCTAATTGACTATTATATTAGTTATTACCAAATACGAAAAATATATGGAAAAAATTTGATTTATTTCTTCTGTCACGGGTGGTACAAAAAAAAGAACCTGCTTTTTGGAACAGATATATTTTACTGAAACTCTGCGAATTTATTTCACTTTTCTGTGTGAACTTGATGTCTTATAATAAAACAAAGAACTAGGAACACAAACAAACCAAAAACTACAAAAAAATGATGGCTTTATTATACAAAAGTTACGGAATTCCTCTGTCACGGGTGGGACAACGTTTGTCACGGGTAGGCCACGTACGAATTTTTATATGAAAAGGAGCTTTTAGTGTGGTCCATATCAGGGATGTTGCGAATGTGGGATTTTAGACATCCGCGGATGCGAATGCGGATGCGGATGTTTAAAAGCTAACATCCGCGGATGCTGATGCGAATGCGGATGTCAAGTATTTTGAAGAAATAATTTAGGTGAGTAAATTCGGTGATTTAATACTAATAATAATAGATTGGCGCTTACACATATGTTAGTGTTTGGCCGAGCTGTCGGCTGCTGTGGTGTAGTGGTAAGCAGTGCGCGCTTCAACTCCGCAACGCCTGGGTTCAAGCCCTGGTCAAAGCGACATCGCAAAAAAATGTAGAAAAGAGGTTTTTTCTTAACAGCGGTCGTCCCTCGGCAGGCAGTTGCAAACCTCCGAGTGTATTTCTGCCATGAAAAAAAGCTTCTCATAAAAATTCAATCGCCGTTCGGAGTCGCGCACACCACAGATTGGAGGAGAAGCTCGGCCAAGTTAGGTGATTTAGGTAAATAAAAAATGGAAAGGTTAGAAATTTTTATATTTCTTTTGCTTGAATTTAAAAATTGGAACATTTGGGAGATTCACAACGGCGTCGTAAGTATTGTATTGTTGTATGTCG